TTGCTTTGTATATAAGCACAATCCGAATGAATATTCTAATGTTATAAAGAAATTAAAGAAGAAATTTATTTAAATTGAAAATAAGAGTGTACAATACCAGACATTTTGCTCTAAGAAGTTTATTTTTGAGATCTATGCATTGAAGATTTGTTTTGCTGAATAGTCAACCGAAGATGAGCTTCTTAGAGCACTATTGAAAATCCTAAAAAAGTGCTTGGTGTGTGACGTAAATGTCTCAACCACTAAACCACTATTAAATAAGTAGCAACTGTTTTTTTGAAAACACATTACTACGTACACTTACATTAAATCACTATTTTTTTAAATAAAAAATTACTATGTACAGTTATCGCACACTTTTCTTATTCACAATGCAATAACTGCTACGTACATTTTTCTTATTATTCTTATACATTGGATTAATAAGTAAAAATCTCCTACGTACATTTTAAACAACAATCTTATTCATATTGTACTTACCTCCATACTCTATTTGTATAATTCAACAATTAAATAATGTGTAACTAACCACTTTTTTAGGCATCAGGTATTTAATTCTCATATAACATGGAAACAAAAAATAATATTATTTTATTTTTAATATATATAGCATAAATCATATTGTATTTTTTAATACAGAATATAAATGCTACTCTGTATTAATTAACTACTGGATCACTTAGTATTAGCACAATTCGTATAATAATTTCATCTTTTTTTTTATTTCACAATGCAGGTGCTCATCCAGACTTTTTTTCTTTTGTAGCTTATTAAACATGTAAACTTAGGTTCTGGGGACCCATCTGGGTTGCCTATGTATGTAATAATATTAGATTATTAATATAGGGTTGCAGGTAATAATTGGCAGAAGGTCAGGTATTTTCTCATCTTTTCTTCAATTTACTTATAGCAGCCTTAACAGCTATCATAAACGGGTTTAAACTTGCTATTAAAATATATTAGTCGTACATGTTCAAGTTCATCATAACAATTCATCTTACTAAATTGGAAACAGTCACCATAGGACATAGATTATTAAGAACAGCGATGCTAAATTCGAAAAAACACTGCATTTCATATATACATTGGTCCAAAAGAGAACATTGTGCTTAGGAACACATTTAGGTAAAAACAAATTTGGGAAATCCTAAAGGTTTAAGACCTTATGTGTTTCTGTGAACACTTAGGTAAAGCATAAAAAACACTGATAGATAGTAATTACAATAATATAATTGCAGAAATAAGCTTCCTTCCTTTATGCGCTCCTTAAAAGCATTAAGCCTTTCCCTGCGAATGGTGGCATGAACTCTGTCGCCCTGAGTAAGTAAAAAGCTAGTCAGTTTGCTTCAAAATTAAACTGCAACGTCACGTTGCCAACGTGTATGAAAAAAAACTAAAATTGAAAAATTACCTCCTGATCATGAAACACACACTCCATAGTGTTAATCACATTTTTGTTGGTGAAAACTGGGACTGGATAGGAACGCACCAGTCTCACCCGCAGTGCCCAGTTTGTCTTTGATGTGTTTAGTTCCTGAATCCTGTTGAACATCTTCAGCCTTGGTTGTCTTCAGCTCTCTGCAAGTTAGAAAGTTAGCACCACAATAAAATTCACATTGTTTTAGTAATTATTCATAATGATGTATATCAGAGAGAGAATAATATACTGCAATTTGTCTACTTGAGTTTGATGGTTTAAACGCTATGTGATGCAGGATATATATAATGTTTGGGATGTTGAAAACTGCTGTGGTCATGCCATGATGGTGGTGTAGGATCGTCATGTAACTGCTCCACAATGGCATACGATTAGGAATGTGGCTTGCCATGTGTTTCTTTCTGAGAAAAGAAAGGAATGTGGGATGGGAATTTTTTTTTTTAATTCACTATATTCTGATTTCTGACACGTGTAATACATCTATGGTCACAAATGTTCAGCCTGTTGTCACGATTCTCCTTTTATATATATATAGATTTTTCCGTTTCGATCTCACCATCCCGTGTCTGTGTCCAACCCGTTTCCCTCGTCTCCATGCATGTTACTGCCGCCCGTGGTCCCACCCACCTTGCTCCATTCGTCCTTATCATCAACAACCCTTCCTAGTCAAAATCCACCTAATTCTTATCCCCCACGTGCCCATCTACCATGCCAATTCACCCTACCTACCAAATTCTATCTCCTAACACTTCTCCACCTATACCAAACTCATCCTTATCCACTCAGCACCACACTAATAACCAACATAATTCGTCAATTCCCCCCCCACTTAGTAACCCAAATATCAACCCCTCCCAATTACCTGGAGACCCCACTACCCACTCCCATAACGATTCCATTCCCATGCAGACCTCGGTCATATCACCAACGAATGCATCTATTCCCAATTCCACCAACCCGACCCCACCTACATCAAATCCCAACCCACAAACCATAAACCCATCCACCCGACCAACTCGATCACGAGTTCCCAACCCTAAATATATCGGTGGACCCTACCTCAATGCTACCACTAAACATCCCATTACCCCAGTCCTTGAACCTACCAGTGTGAAGCAGGCGTTGTCTGATCCAAGATGGGCTGCTGCCATGCAGGATGAAATGCAAGCCTTGAGTCGGAATCATACATGGAGTCTGGTTCCTGCTACCAGTCAGCCTCCCATAACATGTAAGTGGCTATTTCGCATTAAGCGGAATGCAGATGGTAGCATCTCCCGATTCAAAGCCCGGCTTGTGGCTCGCGGTTTTTTACAACAACCAGGACGTGATTACTCTGAAACGTTTAGTCCGGTCACCAAACCGGCTACCATCCGTATCATACTATCTATTGCCCTAGCTCGGAATTGGTCTCTTCGGCAACTAGACGTGAACAATGCTTTTCTACATGGGACCCTCACGGAGGAGGTGTATATGGTCCAACCGCCTGGGTTTCGGGACTCTCAGTTTCCTACACATGTGTGTAAATTACATAAGGCTCTATATGGGCTTACACAGGCCCCTCGTGCCTGGTATATGGAGCTTTGCCGGTTTCTTATTTCCGTGGGATTCAGAAAATCGCGTGCCGACGCCTCACTGTTTATATACTCTTCAAAAGGCACACTAATCTATTTTCTTGTCTATGTTGATGACATTGTTCTTACAGGAAATGATTCAGTTGCAATTGAGGCCTTTGTCCGCCAACTCACTCACAGGTTCTCTGTCAAAGACCTTGGCATGTTACATCACTTTCTGGGAATTGAGGTGATTCCCACTCCAAATGGCATATTTTTGACACAACGACAGTACATAAATCATATCCTGGAAACATGTCAAATGAATGGTGCCAAGGAGGCAGCCACTCCAATGTGCTCCAAGGCATCCCTCTTCCTCACGGATGGCACCTCTCCTGCGGATGCAACCCAATATCGACGCACACTAGGTCTACTACAATATTTGTCCTTCACCCGGCCTGATATTTCCTTTGCCGTAAATCGTCTCTCTCAATTTATGCATGCACCAACTGAGACTCATTGGCAAGGAGTAAAACGCATACTTCGGTACCTCAAGGGTACGCTGGATCATGGGCTATTTCTTAATCGGTCATCACCCTTAACACTCTCTGTCTTCTCTGATTCGGATTGGGGGGGAGTTTCGGATGGGGGGCGCTCGACAACAGCCTACGTCCTCTATTTGGGAGGTAATATCATCTCTTGGAAGTCTGCCAAACAGAAAACGGTATCTCGGTCATCCACCGAAGCCGAATATAAGGCTGTTGCAAATGCAAGTGCAGAAATGTTATGGGTCCGCAATCTGCTCACTGAGTTGGGCATTTCATTAACTTCCACACCACAACTTTTTTGTGATAATCAGGGAGCTACTTATGTGTGCATCAATCCTGTATTCCACTCTCGGATGAAACACCTTGCTTTGGATTTCTTTTTTGTTCGTGAACTAGTTGAGCGTGGACAACTTGCGGTCAAACATATTTCTACAAAACATCAAATTGCTGACATTCTCACAAAACTGCTCAGTAAAACACCTTTTCAACTCTTTCGGTCCAAGCTAGGAGTATCCAACGGATCCTCTATCTTGCGGGGGCGTATTGAATCATAATATTATTATTATATATTTATCCCTTGTAATTATCCCATACGGTCAACATATGTATTTGTTATTTGTAATTATCCCATACGTATGATTAGCTCTATCCCTTAGCTAGTGGCAGTTAGTTAGCAGCTCTTATCAAGGCTATTGTAAGCCTATATAATCCATGTACGTACGTCGAGTATATACAATCAATACAATACTTTTCATATACTTCTTCATCGGCCACGGGTGCACACCATCGGCTAAACAATTGAGGGCGACATCATCGGCAACACGCATCGTGTCGGCCGGCACCATCGTCGGGCCAGACTGCTGCAGTGGTCTCCACACCGGCCAAACAATTAAAGAACGCAACGCCTCGGCCACTCGATTGAACACAGCAGGGGTCTCACCTCGGCAAAGTCCCACATCGGCCAAATCCTGGTCGCCTCGGAAAAACAACGGAGAGGACAACCCTTCGGCCAGAGCAGGAGGTGTCACCCTCGTTCACCAGAGAGGCCGCCGTCGTCCCTGGCTCCCATCGGCCAAAACCGCGGACCAGCAGCCTTCCTCCTTAGCCTAGCAACACCTAGCACAACCGGGTTGGTTCAGCTGGGGACCAGCAGCCTTCCTTCTCGTCCGCAAGCCACGCCAGCGACGCCGGGAAGTCTCCTCGTCCTTGCGTTTCACGCCTCCGAATTTACTTCTCCCTGCAGATGAAATCAAGACATGATCTGGACCTCCTACCATCTCAATTAAAACACTAGGCTAGTAAAGTATGGGCCGGCCAGCTATTTATCTCACTGGATTCTTTATGGAGCAGGCCCAATCTTACATCTCCCTGCTGGAATTCTAAGCAGGGCAGGCTTCGGCCCAAATAAGAGCTAAGTGCCTAAAACTCCTTCTATTTATTAGTTTTTAGTCATAAACTGATTCGAAAAAACAAAACATAAAATGAAATATTTTAATAATATAGCAAAACACTTCAATCTTGAGGGGCGAGTCATCCGTTAAAAGATCCCGAAAAGCGCGGACTGGCGGATTCGAACTACAAACTTGAGTGACGAGTTGAGCTAGATTATTAATTTATTATCATTACTTTTAAAGACTTACGAAGAAGAGTCATAAAATGAAATATTTTAATAATATAGCAAAACACTTCAATCTTGAGGGGCGAGTCATCCGTTAAAAGATCCCGAAAAGCGTGGACTGGCGGATTCGAACTACGAACTTGAGTGACGAGTTGAGCTAGATTATTAATTTATTATCATTACCTTTAAAGACTTCAAAAAAAAGTCATAAAGATGAAAAATTAATAATATAACATCAAACTTCAATCTCAAGGGGCGAGTCATCCGTTAAAAGATCCCGAAAAGCGCGGACTGGCGGATTCGAACTACGAACTTGAGTGGCAAGTTGAGTTAATTTATTAATTTATTATCATTATTTTTGAATAGTGTGTATTTTTTTTACATTGAAAAACGGACTTATTCCGAGCACCCGCGTACACCGGCAGACTATTGAAGTCTCGCGCCACGGGTCACGACAAACGGGTGTGGCGATAAATAAGCTCCAAATCCAAATGTTATCTAATACACACTCTGGTTTCTATGCCCAGCATAGAAACAAAATTTGAGCTCCAGGTTGAAAATTTGAGGCCATTTAATGTAGGCCCAAATCCAATAGCGAATTATAAGCTCAAGAAATCATAACAATTTTATTTGAATGCATAGGTGCAGTCAAGTGATGACTTGGATTTCATATCGGCCTCTCGGCCATACTTCTGGTCATCTTTATGTGATGAACTAGACATCATATTATGGACGGTCGCTCGACCCATCCCTTAGTCATCTTTATTTGATGACTAGGACTACTGATCATGACGAGCTACCCACATCTATGGATCGGCCTCTGCCATCCCCTCGGCAGACGGACACCGCTGCAGCTCCACCTCTAGGCCGAAGGGCTCGCACCTTTTGTTTCGTTCTGGGGGCATCCGATGTACTCTTTTTCCCTCATTAGGATTTTTTCCCACAGGGTTTTTCCTAATGAGGTTTTTAACGAGGCATCTCCCCATTGTGGATCAAAAGGTGTCAACCCTCAGCCCCCTGTTGCAGACATCATCAGACATGCATTACTCTACTCCTCTTCACCTCATTACACTCGCCTCAAGGAGTGGGGGACTGGGAGAGCGGGGGACTTAGCGCCTCCGTTACCAAAGAAGCAAAAATTCAAAATTTTTGCAAGGATTGCCACTCGCACCGACGACATCATCATATCACATACATATTCAGCTGCCACATCGGCCAGTACATATCCATAGCTCCCCGGCCTCAGGACCGGTGGTGATGGTCTCTGGCCTGCGACCTTCGGCTGAGGATTTTCCCACAGGGTTGCCTCAGCCAGGGCTCACCAGTGGGATCGGATCATCGGCTTGGGAATCCGGGCGAGGCGCTTCGACGACGACAGTAGTTTACTCACCGGACGACGACAGATCAGCACACAGTTCTACTCTCTTTCGCCTCGAGTACTCTCGACCCAGAGAGTGGGGGACTCCTGATAGAGTATATAGACTCGGACCCTGGGTATCACGACTATTGGGCCCAGACAGCGGTCCGGACAGCGGCCCACATATGTTCAGTAGATAGCATTTATTTCCTTGTACACTACATTTATTCATATGTACACATTTAAATAGATTAGATACTATTTATTAGCCATTTATTGGCCTTTTATTGTAGTTGGGCCTTCCAGGCCCAAGCCTGGAAGCCTAGCCCACTTTTCTCCTATAAATACTCCCTATGGGAGCCATGTAAAGGATGGTTGGATGGTTGGATGGAATTCATTATACATATCACTTTATCTCTCTAGCTCTCTCTTCTCTCTAGGATTAAATAATCTATCAAATATCATAGGAGTGTGTTGATTTATACAAACACATACAAATAATATCAAAATAAATATATGATGAGAAAAAACAAATTTGTTGTTATTTGGAAATAAATCTAACTAAATTAGTGATAGGTTGAACAACTCAATGGCAAAGGATGTAGAAATTATTGTGAGTTTTATTGTCATCGAGCGGGAGCGGCTGGATTTTGTGTTCTTTTTTGTCATAAGCCGCTGGATATTATATGTTGATGTGAGTTTTCTCGCACTTAAAAATGATGTAATATAGTGGTGAGAAGTATGAGTATCGTCTCTACAGGGACAGATAAAAGGAGAATTAAAGATTAACTAAATTGAGCGACTAAGAAGAAATAAAATAAAATAAAATGCAATTGTGCGAGATTGATTGATGATTTAAAATTAAACTAATGCTAACGATTAATAAAATAAAGTGAATTTTGTCTTAAATAGGACTAAATTGCTGTTCAAATTCCAAAACAGGAGTAAGTGTATTTTATTCCCTAAATAGGACCTTTTATCCAAAATTACCCTTCTTCTGTTTTGTTCACTCACGCACAACAGCCATCGGGTATCATCTTCTTCTTCGCACACCCCCTTCTTCGTTCATTCTATTTTCTCCAGGCACGCACAATAGCCATCGGCTAATCATCTTCTTTTTTCACGCCTTCTCCATCCTGCTCACCATCTATTCCGACCTCCTCACGATCTTCTAGGTGTGGCGGCCATCCTTTCTTCTCCGGTCACCATCTCCGCCCTGCAGAGACGAGCTTCCTGGTGCAGCGAGTAGCGGTGATGGCCATCAAGGAAGTTTCAGAAAGTATTGAACTCGGATTTGGTGGTTGGAGTAAAGTATCTTGTTGTTCATGCATCTGCATCTTCTTCTCTGGATCTGCCTCCCCCTCTTCATTTCAGGTTCTAGTTGCCAAAAATGAGATGTTGTTCATGATGTTCTTTGTTCGTGAAAAAAATGTCAAGTTATACTCTGAAAATGCCATAGCAATGGCATTTTTTCTCTTCTGAATTTCATATTTTTGTTTGAAAATGCCATCAAGATGACATTTTCCATTCATGTTGGCAATCTCGTAAAGATTTTGGCATCAGCTTCGACCGTGGCCAGATCTGCAGCGGTGGAAGCCGGATCTGCAACCGTGGAGGTCGGATTTCCAGCAGCAACGGCGGATCTGCAGGAGTAGATACCGGCGAACGGCGTCCGCCAGATCTGGCAAGATTTACGTCGGTGGTGGTCAGGTCTGTGGCAGCTATGACTAGATCTGCAACGCCGGTGGTCAACTCTGCAACGGCGGCCAATTCTGCCGCGGTGGCGGCAGCCGGCGGTAGCCGGCGGCGGCGGCGTCCGGCAACTGGCGGCCATCCGGCATTTTGACAGTGCTGTGATTTTGCAAGTTTCAGGGTATTTTTGTCCAATTTCAAATAATAACTCATATTTTGGGAATTTTTAAACTTTGCTCCTATTTTTGCAATTATGGATTTATTTACTCCTATTTAGGTAAATCCCCCTAAAATAAAAGATTGGTTTCTCTCTAATTAATGATGAAGGGAACGGAGATTGATTCAGGGGTAACCAGATTTCTGGCAGAACATGCCTAATTACATGAAATTATTTTAATTGAGCCTAGCTACTCATTACTAAGTTCTTACCACTCTCGCGGCGTAGAGTATAATAATTTAGGGGACCAGGCTGATCTCTCATGCGACATGATCCTAAATTATTGCCAAGACGAGTGAGCTTACGGCCCCTTAATCGCTACTAATCTCTTAGCGAATGATTATGTGTGTGAATGTGTCCTAGAATAAACTAGATCTCTCTTAATTTATTTTATAAGCAATTGTAATTCTAGCGCGCGTTGTAGGTTACAAAAGATATCAATTAAATTCTTCAAACACAAATTAAACGGCATTCATGCAATTAAACCGATAAGAATCTAGCCATCAATCATGATTAACCCCTTCATCAACCCCAAATCCCTAATTAAACTACTCACAATTCATAATTGAAAAATCAACAGAATTGAGATGAATAGAATAAATTAAGATGAAAAATCAAATTAATTCGAGAACGCAAAAATGTGCAGTTATCTTTATGAATTAATTTGAATGTGTTCCCGATTGAATTTTTAGCTGAAATTTGGTATGAGTAAACTAGACTTGGTGAATAAGATGCTCAAAAAATTTTATCAAACAATTCCACCGGGAACTGCCCCAAATCGCGACGGCCGGACAAAACCTCTTATAGAAAGACTTAATTGACCTTTTTATGAAAGTTCGAGGACCTATTTGACTGTTTTCCCATCCATAAATGACGGAATATTAACATTGCTAAGATTTAGATACTTAACAAATACTCCGTAATAACCAGGAGAGTGCGTATGGGAAAGTAGTAGTGGGAAACTATGTTTTTTTAACTATGGGAAACTATGCTTAAAAAGTCACATTTCGTGATGTAGATTTGCATGTTTTTAATAACAATCTAGCATTATATCCTTTGAAGACTTCGATAACTCAGAAAATGTAATAATATGTTGATGTAATAATCAAATGTAGTGACTTTTTATTTGGGATAAGGGTCAGTTTGGTCCTCGAAGTTGCAAAAAAGGGGTCAAATAAGTCCTTATATAGAATATTCTGTCCGGACGTGCCATTTGAGGTGGCTCCCGGTGGAATTTTTTGATGAAATTTTTGAGCATCTTATTCATTAAGTCTAGTTTACTCATACCAAATTTCAGATAAAAATTCAATTGGGAAGACATTCAAATGAATTCTTGAAGATAACTGTGCCGTTAAAAGCGCTGTTATCTTCAAGAATTCATTTGAATGTCTTCTCGATTGAACTTTTAGCTGAAATTTGGTATGAGTAAACTAGACTTAATGAATAAAATGCTCAAAAACATCTATCACAAAATTCCACCGGGAGCCACCTCAAATGACACGTCCGGACAGAATCTTCTATATAAGGACTTATTTGACGCCTTTTTTCCAATTTCGAGGACCAAACTGACTCTTTAGTCCTTTTTATTTATTGCTAAACGAAGATAAACAAACACACATAATTGGATCGGCATTCATTTATCTTCTCACGACCAAGGAGATAGATAATTTAAAATATAGATAATTTAAAATTACAAGGTAATTTAATTAATAAACACTACTATCCCGAAAAGATAACATGTAGATTAACGTGTATATATAGGCATATTGTTTGTGAAACATTATTGAAAATTCATATGTATATTTCAATATTTGCATTTCACAAACTCATTTTATGGAAAAAATTAAACATCGGTGTTTGAATTGAGCTCACACGAGTTTGAAACAATACATTAAAATTCCATATGTTAAATTTTACATGCATGAGATATATTTAAGCTAAGTTTACCGCGTAAATTCATCCACAATAGTTGATAAGAATCATAAAAAATTTATTGGACCGAGTTATATACTCCGTATTAGTGTTAAAAAAGGGCCTACTATATGGATGTGTTTGGTATTCCAGTGATTAGATTTTAGATTCTGGTTTTGTTTAATTTGTGCATCATTTTGGGTCACGTATAGCCCTCCTCCAAAATGGTTTCTTTTTATCCTTGTTTGGTGTATGTAAATTGGGTCATGTATAGCTCCCCCAATTTTCTGCGCTATTTTTCGTTTCATGGTTGTATTTTTGGATGATGTATGCATCCAAAGAGGTATTGGTCTGACCCTCTCTCTTCTTGTGTTGCATTGTTTTCTAAAAGTACTTGACAAATGTTCTACGACATTTGTTGATTTTGTTTAGTTGCCTACCGAAAAAAGAACCAAACATTCTTATTGTAAAAAAACTGAACATTCCTGAAGCATTACAATAAATTATTTGGAATGGTGTAACATTAAAGAATTAAGTACATACGTCAATTGAGCGACAAATCGAGTCGTTTTCCCATCAGGCAAAGTGGCAAACAATGGTTGGATTAAAAAAAGAGCAACTTTCTTTTTTGGTAATATTGATCTAATAAACAAAAACGTTCCAACCAAACATGACCGAGCTAATATATAGCTAGTGCCATAAAAAATGCTTATTTGCCGACTTTTGAACCTTGAAATTTAAAAAATTAAACTTGTCATGCAATTTGTCATAATGAAGTAATTTAAAATAGTTTTATATATGATATAAAAAAGATTTTCTCCTCGATCGATCATTACATTAGTTAATTATATTTGCAAGTGTTGTAAACAACAAAAGATCATAATTTATCTTTTGAGTTAGGTGGCTAGCGGAAGTGAGATTGTATTCTAAATCTGGAATAAAATAAACATTATGCAAAATATACTAATTTAGTTAGCTCACTCAGAACTGTAGTGGTGTGTTGTACCGCTATAAAAAATCAAAGTTGAACTAAAAAAGATTAGGGAAAAGGAATAGATAAGTGCTGGAAAATGAATGGCGATTTGTCATCATTTTGGCTTCCTCTTGCCAACTGATATTATTAAATGAGTAAATTCTCAAAGTAAGAGTAAAATTATAAAGAGAAAAATACTATTGTATGAACATAAGTCATAAACTTTCTGAAAGTATGAGTACTGCTGTTTATCTCCAGAAGTATGAGTAGGAAGAGTAAATACCAAAACTTTTATAGAAAGATTTTTTTGAAAATATGGAACATCTATTTTTTTCTCCTTTACCCTTCTCAAAAATGTGGAATGAAAGCAACCATTTAATGCCATCATATATAAGAAAACATATAAACTTTGATTCATATGGAGGGTATTTTTCTCAATAATGAAAGAATAGAAGTATGAGTTAAAAGTTTCATATGGTCTGAGTAAGGAGTTTGACAAAAACTTCCTCTTATTAGAAAACTTCCATCCCGAAAGCGGTCTCCGCCAGGAACCTTGGTGCCAATAGTCCCAAGCTCAAGAGCTATTGATAAACTCCAAACTCTAAACCTTGAGGACCTTGAGGAGTAGAAATGTAATATTTGTTGGTGTGAACTCCAAAAAAACAAAGAAATTAATTAGTTAAAACAACCAAGAAAACAGAAACAAGGACAGAAAAGCCAAAGCTTGTGTAACACACACTTTCCTTAAAACGTATTCGTTGCCTCCCACGGTGCTTACGAACAACCGTTTGAGCACACAATCAGTTGTCCTAGCGAACGGAAACAAAGTATGAACACTAGAGGAAATTTTCAGAAAGCTGGAGATGGTTTTAGCTCAAAAACGTTTGTGCTAACTATGTTGTGTCGTGTGTTGTTGCAAAACACCCACCAGCTATATATAGGGATGGAACTGCTGTGTGTTAAGTGAGCTTTAATGGACTTGAACGTTGGACATAAATGACCAGAACGTTGGACATAAATATGGAGAAAAATTGTCTATTTTAAGATGCATTAAAGGAGAAGAACGTTGGACATTAACTGATGTAACGTTCCGCACGACTTCTGGTCCAAGCCGTTTTGATGTGGAGCAGGGGACTTCTGGTCCGAGCAGTTCTGCTGTGGAGAAAAGGCGTTCTGTCCGAGCAGTTCTGGTTCTGGGAAAAATTAAAATGTTATGGGAAGAAATAAAATTTAAACTGTATCTTTGAAAGATAGATTTTTGGATGACATTCGTGTTCGCAAGTCACCCGCGCACGCAAGTCATGGTTCTTCTTCTCCGTTTTCGAGATTTGATAAGCCTCCTTGCACGTGAAAAGAGCCTTTCCACTTAGGAATCTTAACTTCTTCAAAGAGGGTCATTTTTAAAAGGGGTGAAAATCCTCTGTGTTTTCCGGTGTGGGATAAATCATAGGGGTGTGCACCGGTTCAAAACCGGATTGAACCGGACCGAACCGGCCCGGAACCGGATTTGTAAGAAAATGATAACCGAAAACCGAACCGGATATGTTCCGGTTTTGATCCGGAACCGGACCGGTTTTACCGGTTTAAAACCGGAACCGGACCGAAAGAACCGGTTTCTAAATTATTAATTTAAAATACTAAAAAATACAACTAATTTGTTTAATAAAAATGGGGTATTTGTTACTAATAATATTACTATTACTACTATTATTTATTTATTTATTTATTTATTTATTTATTTATTTACTTATTAGTCTGAGTAAAGATTTAAGCAATTTGAGGCCAGAATAATAAATATTAGTTAATTCTATTATCAAGAAAATAAGAATGTATAGATGAATAAAACATTATGAAAATATAGACTACATATTGAAAATATTACTATTTATATTTTTATAACTATCACTAGTTTTTATTATTCTATGACCACTTTATATTAAGGCTATTAATTAATATATTAAAAAATATAGGAAACCGGTTTAATCCGGTTCAAACCGGAACGATCCGGTTTTTAACCGGAACCGGACCGGAATCCGGATTTACAATATTTGAAAACCGAAAACCGGACCGGATATCATCCGAGTCGGTTTGGTTGCGGTTTTTTTGGTCCGGTCCGGTCCGGTTTTCCGGTTTGAACCGGTTTGAAACTCATCATTTTCCCAGTTTTCTCCATCTCAACGAGTGAACTTCGAGAATTAATTTCCTATTCACCCGTTATCCGTTTTGAGTGTACCACATACATATCGAATTGTAGCTCTTAGCAGGGGAATTCGAAACCACTTTGACCCGACCCAAATCAGAAGTGGACCCCACTCAAAATATTGTCCTAAATTGATAATTTAATGCAATTTTAACACATTTATCCAACAACATTAATTTCTATTTTGAGAATTTAATATATTTTCACTTGAACTTATTTCATTATCAGAAAGCATCAACCAATCTAGATCAACACTCTAAACTTAAATAATGTGAAGTAATAAAATACATGTCTCAGACATTAGGAGACGAAGCTATACCAAACCAAATATATAAGAAAATTTCAGCCCAAATGAAATTATTCTTAAATTATACTCTGGTTGTCATACGTCATCAATATTAGCAATTGATCTTGTTTAATGTGACAAAACCTTCATGTATCAAATGATTCAAATCCACATGTCATTACGGAAAGGCCAAGGAACATCTAATTCGTTCGACAGGGAGTATAGTTTGAGTAAAATAGGAGGCAGTACAGTCATTGTTTCGTTTTTCAATAGTAGCGATATGCCGTTTTAGTTAAGAAAACAAAAGAATTGGATTATAAGTACATTTTTAGGCCGTTTCAGTCTTTCAGATCTTACTTGCCGAAGGAACGGAAAGATGCACATGGACTACTTAAAATAAGTTTTGGTGAGTTGGTGGGTGTTTTTGGTGGTTGGGGTTGGCCACTTGGTCTGTTGTTCGATTGTAAAAGGAGAAAAGTTTTTCTTCTTTGTTTTGCTGTTCTTTCACAACCAGGAAAATGGAACAAATGTTTTCTGTTTTTTTAACTTTGCAAGAGTAATTATATCACCCAAACAAGTGGCTTAAAGTTTATCATTTTGTAACTCGCGTAATCATGTCATTGTTATGTCGGGGCGTAGCTCATTTGGTGAGAGAAGGTGTCTCAAAGGAGACCTAAGTTCACTTTGAGGCATATACCTCACTCTCATTTCACCAGTTTGGGATCCAAACCCAATTTACATCATCTTAGGTAAATGCCTAGCCAATTCTGGAGGCTCTCACGGATGGAATGTCATCCTTTTTGATAATGTTTCACATTATTTTGTTTTTCAATATATAAAAAAGTACTGCATATTGTTTTCAGATAGATCGACTTGCTTTGATTTAGAGTAAATGAAATAAATATCTTAATTTCATTGTACATTATTTACTACATCAAATATATTCAACACGTCTATATACTCACCGAATGACATGTTTGCGGTTGACACGATGAAATGTTATAATCTTCTCATCGCACCAAGTACTTCATAGTGAAAATGTTGACATACTCAATATATTTTTCATTGTTCAACGTCTTTCCCTCATTTCAATTTTAAGAATTTATAAAAAAAGTTTAGTTGATAACAGTGAGGGATTAGTGATTAAACAAAGAAATCATAAAAGAATGTGAATGAAAGTGATAACTCAAATGTGTAGTACACTGAGGTGTTTTGGAACATAGGGTATCACACTCTTATGAATGAGTAGTTTATTTATGTCCACTTCCCCTCCTCCATTATGGCTGTCTTTGCCTCTTTAGGTACAAAAAACCTGGCACCTTAACCCCACAAAACGCATAAAGCTCCGACCCGTGACGAGACCCGAAAACCTCCAAAAGCTAAAAAATGGCTCCTTCTTTACGCGAACGCAATTGATCCGCGTCCTCTTTCTTACGATCTCTGCCACCTCTATCTCTATTCACTCGATGACGTGTACCAGGTGCGTTTTTCTAAACCTTCATCTGTTCTTGCTAAATTTGCAGTTGCCACTGTTTAATCGTTCTCTGTGTAACGATACATGTATGTATCCTTCTTTCAAGGTTAATCTTTTCAGTTTCGTGGTTGCTTTTCCAGCCCGCCAATCAGAAAATCGAAGCTTTCCCCTTATTCTATGTTTTCAGCTACCTACAGGCTACAATTAATCACTCAAAACTTAAAACTAAAATTCTTTTTGATAAGTATTTGCAAAGTTCCCCGTTTTTTGTTCTGTTTCTCATAGTTTTTATTTGAGCTTGTTCAAAATTTGCATCTTTTGAGGAAACCAATCCAATACCTTTAGGATTTCGATTGGGATTTGAACCTAGGAATAAGCTGGAATGTTGTATCTATTATATAAGGATAATAATGCAATGGATTGCGAATAGATGGTTTGAGCTCTTAGAGCTGGGCACTGGAAACTGATAGAAATCTTCAATTTGAAATTTCTGACATTGGATTTTGATGCTTTCGTTTGGCGTTGTTTTAGATGCTGACTATGGGGTTTCTTTTTTCAGGATGTCGTGTTGAAGATAGAATGTGACAGTGGATCAGATAACCATCGCATGAAAGTACTATTGGTTGACAATACAAACTCCAGTCTATTCCCAATTGTGTTTTTGAAGGGTCTTCCATCAAATAGAGGACCCTTCAGATCAGGAGTGTTGCTATTGCTCTTACCACTGTCTTGCGAAGTCAGTTGGCATTTTAAAGTTTCTGGTTTGCTGAAAATGCCTGCTGTGCAAAAGCTTTATAACTCTTGCCAGGCATCCCTTTCAACAAATGGACCGGTCTCTGAAGAGGCTCTTGAAAAAGTTCGCAGTTTGTTAGGTAGGAGGATGCAGTGCATTGATGTTCCCTTGACAACTTACATTTGAACCTCTGGTCTTTCAGTGTGTTTTTCATTTTCCCGTGTACATGCTCTAATGGACATAACTGTTCATTCTAGTTTTCAGTTAAGTTACTAATTTAGATCCTTTTTTACACTTGCTTAACTGTTAATCAGCTAGACTAGTCTTTAAATAGCCTTTAGTTTTTTCTTCTATTGATGCTAAACATTTATATGCATAGTGATAAATTAGCTGAGTTTTAAAAGTAGTCTTAACACTTAATGTGTTGATGTAAATGCTCATAACTCATTAGTATGCCCTTATAGCATTGTAAATTTGTAATTTTACACGATATTAGCCCTTCTCATCCTTTAAAAGTTGAATTATCCTTTTGTTTGGAGAGAGATATTCATATTTAATGCTTAATCAATGGATACCTTTGGGGAAACACTCCTTATTCCCTAGACATATACAAATTTTTTTCTTTCTTTTTCTAATATAAGCACTATATTAATTGTGGAAACTAGATATTTATCATCTTTGTTGCAAGCTATGTGATGTTTCCACATGGTCATACATATCTTACCGAGTTACCGTGTAAATCTATTGGATAGTAACAGTCTGTGTAGTCTATTTCTTAAATAATTCCCGTGTTGTCATCTATTGTAAAGATGACTGTATTCTTTGTTTTGAATTCATTACCGTGTAGTCAATTTCCGAAATAATTCCTTCTCTCAGTTAGTGAATTCATAAGGAGGTCCTTAGAATGCCACACTTTTAATTTTTTTTAAAGGCCTGATTTAGTACTTTAGTTAGGAATGCAATTGTTGGCTTCATTAAGAGGTGATAATATTCAGAACCTTAGATTGAAATTCCTCGATCATACCATCTTTCATGTTAAATGTGTTCATTTTTTTTAAAAGGCCTAATTTAGTACTTTGGTTAGGAATGCAATTCTTCTTCTTGTTGCTGGTTAGAAATGCAATTGTTGGCTTCATTAAGAGGTGATAATATTCAGAACCTTAGACTGAAATTCCCCGACCATTCCATCTTTCTTGTTAAATGTGTTCCTAATGGAGGGACTTAGAAAGACATGCTTTTATTGAGAAAGACCTGAGTTAGTACTTTGGTTAATATCAAGAACTTTTTGGAGCCTAGCAGCATGCCATATTGTCAGGTTGAATTTTGAGTGCTAGCCAGAATTCTACAATGTCTTTTCCCAATTGCTGCAAGCTCATGACATAATCATTGGAGAAGTTAGGACATAGGTCCAAGGTGTCAACTGCATCTGCCTTAACTGGCTTCGAGAATGTAGCTTATAGAATAGCCTTAGGTGGTTTATAAAAGTGGCCTATTTGCCTTATCAACAGAAAAAGAAATGTCCCAGTTTGGTAGCATCAATGTGCTTATTCTGCTTATAGGCAGAATAATCAGAATGAACAGAACAAGTTGCCTTTGACTTACCTATTTGGTTGAAATCGATATTACCATACTCTTTTCCTATCACGCAGTTCAAAATGTTCAGTCATTTCAGTCAAATAATTTGTACCAAACAGGCTCAGAATAATCAGCGTAGCTTTTGACTTGCATATTTTGCTGAAATGGATTTTACCAAGCTCTTTCCTTTTCGGGAAACTCGGCAGATTAAATCAGCATGTCAGCAAAAATATCCCTGGTCAAAGAGGCTTTATATGTGCTTTATCCTTTTATCATAATTAGATTATTTTTGCTTCATTACCATATGCTTATACTACGCATTAGCTAATGTAGCATCTCTATCAAAACAGTCCTATCACTGAAACAGCGTTTGATTAGTTTGTTACTATTCCCTTATTGTTTCAGACAAAATCAAGCCTTCTGATGTTGGCCTTGAGCAGGAGGCACAATTGGTACGAAACTGGAATGCTAGTGCACGCGAGCTTAATGGGGTCTCACAATCACCACCTCCTATCAAATACATCCATATACATGAATCTGAAAGTTTCTCTGTGAGTCTTGCACACATTTGTGACTGGCCTTTTATGCTAATGTTGATTTAAAGAAATATTATTAAGTTAATACTGCAAGTGATTGAAAGATGAGGGCGTATTGAATTTAAATGTAACAGATGGGAATATTCTGCATGCCACCTTCCTCAATCATTCCTCTTCATAACCATCCTGGGATGACAGTGTTAAGCAAGCTTCTGTATGGTTCTTTCTACGTGAAATCCTATGATTGGATAGATGTGCCAGTAGATTCTGACCTGGCTCAAGGTGTGCTGTAATTTGAACTCTAAATATTCTTTCAAAAGAATGCTATGATTTTATATGCCTTCATTACTTGTCAAGCACAAGTTTTCCGTTAGTTCGTTATAGTTCAGTATGGAAACCATATAATCGTTGGTTACCAAGTTCATATTTGGTTGGCATTTGTATGATTGGCTTTCAGGTGCGCGACCAGCAAAGCTAGTTAAAGATTGTCAGATGACTGCACCATGTGGAACCACAATTCTCTATCCTTCTAGCGGAGGAAATATTCATTGTTTTAAAGCCATTACTCCTTGTGCAATTTTTGACATCTTATCTCCACCCTACTCCTCAGACGATGGAAGGCATTGCATCTACTTCCGGAGGTCTCCCAAAGCTGATCTTCCTGGTGAGAGCAAACTGAATCCCAACTGTTTTCCTTCCATTACTCTATGATGATGTGACTTATCTCTTCGAGTCCGCTTAGTATGGCCTAAAATGGCAGAATCTGCTAAAATGACTGAAGTTGTGGCTAAAATGACTGAAAGTTTTGTATAACAAAATAATGATGTATAAATGCAATTTATTAAGAAATAATGAAAACAATCATGAAAAAGGTTAGAATGGTCACTTTAAGAAACTTTAGCATCTCTGGCCAAACCATACCACTCAGATATGCTTTTGTCAACTGTTAACCAATTTAACACACATGGTAAAATAATTAGTGTTCACTATTCAGTGAAAAGTTGACTGATAATGTTAGTAAGCGGAAAGCAATGTATATATTCCCTGTCCCAAAATAAGCTTCGTTCTTTCCATTTTGTGAGATCAAAATAAACTTCAGCTTTGCTACTTGTACCCACCCCTTATACCCACCCCTGTGAGAGATTATTTTTTTGTCCGTGAGTCGAACAAAACAAACATGTTTTTGTTTGTGAACACATGTTCACAGAAAACATGTGTGTTTGTCTGTGAAAGGGATTCACCCACCAAAAAACCTCTCACCGGGGTGGGTATAAGAGCGTGAGTACAAACATAATTTTTCAATAAACTTTGTTTCTATGAATATATTATTATGTGATTCTGTTTCACCTCAATGCAATTTTTTACTGCACAGTTTTCACTTTCTAAATCCCTTCGCCAAATCAAAACAGTCACCCAAAAATGTCATTTTAGTTTTATCCGTGTAGAACTATCGGAAACCATCATTTCTAGGGACATTTATAAATTTTGTTGTTGGTTTGGAAATAATTACAGTTCTAAATGTAATGACAATTAGCTTCTATGGTTCACATAGTTTTTTTGTGTGGGGGGTGAGGTGGGGGTGGGGCAAGTATTAGCTTTCAGTCCTTTCACCAAGACTTTTTTGGTGAAAGAATCTAACAGTGATACTTTAATATTATTGTCTCAAGGGGAACTTGAGAAGCATGGAGTGGCAATATCTGGAGTGAACTGGTTGGAAGAAATTCAACCTCCCGATGACTTTGTAGTAAGGAGAGGGCAATACAAGGGCCGTGCTCTTAAAACTTAAGGGGTCTTTTCTTTTCTTTTTTCTTTTTACCCCTTTTTTCTCTTTTACCCTATTTTTATTCATAGTTTATAATTCATGTGTGTAATCAAGGCGAATTCTTAGTCACATGGCTGCTTGTCCACTCAAAATAATAATGTGTCGTTGAGAGAAATAGGAATCATATCAATTAGTAATTAATTAATGTTCATATTATAATTATAATACCAATCAATTGTACCAATCTCACCTTAATTTGTCACTGTAATCATAGTTGGTACTAGTTAATAGATTTGGGTAGGTAGTTTACGCGTTAAATATTTGCATGCGAAATGATAGCATGCGAAGTTAAGAGAAACAATCAATTAACATGTAAAATAGATTACATTGTTTGATCGAATGTGTAATTTACTTTGAATTTGCACGAAAGGCGTTGCAATGCTTTATAAAAAGCATGTAATGTATTTTACCACCTTTTTCCACGTAAAATACAATAAATGATATCGTGCGAAATGTTTTTATGTCCTACCGCTTACCTCAAATAATCGATTCAAATGGTGTAACCTTTTACCTCGCATTTTGCGTGCAAAGTAATTATTAAGGAGTATACAACTTACCAAACCCCTCCTACGAGAAATCACAGATTCAGTGAACTCATATAGAACCTATAATAGTGGTTGGTGGCTACTAGGCCTGGACTCGGGCCGGGCGGCCCGACCCGGAACCGGCCCGGCCCGGCCACTGTAGCAACCGGCCCGGCCCGGTGGCCCGGTCCACTAATTTAGTATAACTATAACTAATTTATGTCGAGATGTTAACTAATTGTCATCTTAGCAACACTCCCCAACATTAATATATAGATATATTAAGAGAATAATTAATATTCAAGGTAAGAAGTTAAGAAAATAACTCACAACTTTAATAATCAACAAGCTTCAAGAGCAACACCAAGAAATGAAAGTTTAACTCCTCATTAGGAGACTAAACATGCTATAAAAATATAAAAGAAATACTATTCTAAACTGAGCTTAAGAGTATGGAAGAAGGGATTGGTTAAAAGTGAAGGAAAATGGGGCTATTTATAGGTGTTTTCAACACCCTGGGGCATTTACCCGACCGGGTAAATGGGCATACCCGACCGGGTAAATGTCAAAATCAGATATTTGTCCACGATTTCTTGTTTTCAGCACGTCGGATTGTCCCCGATCAAGTCTCATCCGACCGGGTGAGGTAGTGGGCCCGACCGGGCCTAGCAATTTCCTTGCTAGTTCGGTTTTCACTTCCTACCCGACCGGGTGAGGGTTGATACCCGGTCGGGTTTTTGCTCCTGGGCAGTCAAATCTCCTTTTTCTTCACTTCAAAGTCTCCCTTTCCAACACCATAATTCCTAATTCTTCTTTCCAACTTACAAATGAAGATTAAAATACAATTACAACTAAAATCAGATAAATGTTTACAAACTAAATAAAATGATAAACAATACACACAAATCAAACATAAAAACATGCACTTATGCACTACTAATTAGTGCATATCAAACACCCCCACACTTGAACCTTTACTCGTCTCGAGTAAACAAAAAAATATCCCCAAAAATATAAGAGTAAAGAGGGGTCTTCAACTCCATATTTCTTATCAATCTCAATTTTTTTCGTTACCCTTAGGATCCTGCAGAAATAAAAGAAAATACTTTCTCTCATTCTCTCATTTTTGCCTAGGTGCCCTTTTGGGTTTTCATCTTAGCTTCCCTCATTTTTCTGTTTCAATCCTCACAACTCACTCTTATTTTTGCTTTATTTTTGCTTAAGTTGCCTTTTCAGGTTTTCAACTTAACAAGCTTTTTATTCCCTTTCCTTTTGAACATTTTTTTTTGAACAATTTTTTTTTTAACAAGAATAAAGAGTATGAATGCGAGTAGTCCATAAAACTGTCCCCCCAAGCTAGTCAAAGCACTATCCCTAGTGCTCATCTTCAAGACGTCATAGAAGATGAACCCTTTTTGTGGTGCCATTTCTTTCTTTGTTGGTTAAGCAAAATTCTGACTTGGTGTAGGCGGAGTTAGGGAATTCGGATTTTGGGTAATTTGGTGGGTTTTGTTGGTATAGAACTGGAGAGGAGAAAAAAATATGGGGTTAGTTTGTGGGTTTGGTGGATGGATGTGGGAGATATGAAACGTTTGAAGCTTTGGCTATGGAGGTTTGTTAGTGTTGGGTCCGAATTGGGATTGTTGGAATTGAAAAGAAGAAAGCTTCACCCGTATGCTTAAGGGCCAATTTTCTGTTCAGTGTTCACCCGGCCGGGTGGGAGTTTTTACCCGGTCGGGTGTTAAGTTTCAGAGGAGGCAGTGGGTTTTTAAAATGCCCAGTCGGGTGGAACAAGATTTTCTTTTTCTTTGCCTTGGCCCGGGTGATGGGGCGGGTGTGATGTTTTTAAAAGGTACCCGACCGGGGTCAAAGTGATACCCGACCGGGTATTTGCCCCAGGCCTAACTTTTTTTTTTGAAAAGTGCAAAAATAAAATAAAACAAGTAAATGTACCTTGCATGGGTTGCTTCCCAAGAAGCGCCTCGTTTAACGTCGCGTCATGACGCCATCATTGTGTTCAATAGTTCAAGCTTGGATCGTGATAACTTATCTTCTTCAAATTTTCATTCCTAGGACTTTCATAGAAATGCTCAATTTTCTGACCCTTCACTTTGAAAATCTTTCCAGGATCAAATATCCAGATTTCCATTGACTTATGTGGTGAGAGTGAGGGAAAAAAAATAGTGTTTAGCATGGTCAATGGAAAGTGTTTCGATCCCACAATTTCGCCGAAGATTTCAAAATTGTCATTCTCCTTTTCAATTTTATGAGTTTCCCTCAAAGTTTTTAGAAATGTTGGGGGTACCTCAAAGGATGATAAGGTCAAATATTGGACCTTGAAACTCGGTTCATTCTCTTCTTTGACCAGCTGGAACTCCGTGTTTCTTTCTTCTTGTATTTCTTCTGGATTTGGGATCTCCTTTTGCATTTCCTTCTCAATTGTCACTGTGATTGCAAAAGTTTGCTGTTTAGGATCACATTCTATTTGAGAGGAAAGTTCTCCTGAATCCCTTGCTTCAAGCCCACTCACGGCTCCGGCTATTTGACTCACTTGAGTTTCCAAGTTTAAAATTCTAAACTTGGTCTCATTTTGGAATTGCACCATATTCTTTTGCATGGTGTTCATGTTGGTAGTAAGAGTCCGAAGCATGTCCTTTGTAGACATGTTAGAGAATGGATCATACATCATGTGAGGTACTTTCCTTTGGAAGCCAACATAATCAAAATATTCAAGGTATTCTTGTTGGAGCTTTGGGCAAAAATCCGTAAGATGTCCGTGAGACATGCAAATGTTGCAGGTCTTGACATCTTGAGCTTTTGAGCTTATGATAAATTCATTTATTAGAGAAGTCAAGGTGGAAATTTGACTTTCTAAGGATGATGTATTGATATCCATATACTCATGTAAGCTCAGAAAATAGAAGAGTAAATTTTTTTTTGATTTTTTTTGTTTTTATAATTTTTTTTTGAAATAAAAGAAAAAGAAAATTAATTTCCTTTCCCCCGGCAACGGCGCCAAATTTGACGTGCACTTTGTCGTGTGTGCACTCAAAATAATATTCAATACTAGCACTAATATGTAGTATAATGAAGTAGAGTTCATATCCATATGGAAATGAATAATTATCTTTTTATGAAACTAGTAAATAAGGGGGTTTTTGGAATTGAGTGATTTAATTAAATTTAAACACGAAGATGAACGAGTTATATGTGATTTAATTCAAAGATAAAAAGGACTTGGCATTGCTACTTTCCACTTGTTGATATATTTTAGTCGATCATTGTTAAATCTATAACTTACCCCCTCTCGAATACTCAATCGAGGAGTATATCCAATTCATCGAGGGTAGTTATTAACAACGTCCGTTCATTAATAACCCTTACTATTAGTCAAGTATTGAACACCGCCATATACCGACTTGATAGTAGCATTTAATCTCTTAACTCCTTGATGAAATCGATTGAGATTGATAACCTCAAAACAACGGTTTTGGTTTAACCGACAAAATTAATCCCTCTTAAGTTTATTAACCACGACCGTGCATTAATAAACTGAAGTTACTTACTTGTGAAACCATCAACGATTAACCATCGGTTCGTTGATCGTTTCTAGTAGTAATTAATGTCGAGATGTTAACTAATTGTCATCTTAGCAACACTCCCCAACATTAACATAGAGATAGGTTAAGGGAAGAATTAATATTCAAGGAGGAAGATTAAATATGAATAATCCTACTATAACCAATGTCAAGATGTTATCTAATTGTCATCTTAGCAACACCCCCCCAACATTAATATATAGAGGAAGAAGATAAATACTACTATAACTAATGTCGAGATGTTAACTAATTGTCATCTTAGCAACACTCCCCAACATTAATATATAGATATATTAAGAGAATAATTAATATTCAAGGGAAGAAGTTAAGAAATAACTCACAACTTTAATAATCAACAAGCTTCAAGAGCAACACCAAGAAATGAAAGTTTAACTCCTCATTAGGAGACTAAACATGCTATAAAAATATAAAAGAAATACTATTCTAAACTGAGCTTAAGAGTATGGAAGAAGGGATTGGTTACAAGTGAAGGAAAATGGGGCTACTTATAGGTGTTTTCAACACCCTGGGGCATTTACCCGACCGGGTAAATGGGCATACCCGACCGGGTAAATGTCAAAATCAGATATTTGTCCACGATTTCTTGTTTTCAGCACGTCGGATTGTCCCCGGTCAAGTCTCACCCGACCGGGTGAGGTAGTGGGCCCGACCGGGCCTAGCAATTTCCTTGCTAGTTCGGTTTTCACTTCCTACCCGACCGGGTGAGGGTTGATACCCGGTCGGGTTTTTGCTCCTGGGTAGTCAAATCTCCTTTTTCTTCACTTCAAAGTCTCCCTTTCCAACACCATAATTCCTAATTCTTCTTTCCAACTTACAAATGAAGATTAAAATACAATTACAACTAAAATCAGATAAATGTTTACAAACTAAATAAAACGATAAACAATACACACAAATCAAACATAAAAACATGCACTTATGCACTACTAATTAGTGCATATCACCCATACCTTCCAGGATGGCGACGAACGTCCTTATACAGCACGATCGGCCCCTCAGCGCCATTCGTGTCTAGTTCATGTTCAGCTCGCCCATCCCCTCTAGGATGGCGATGAACACCTTATGCAGCACGATGCGCC